CTAGGTACCGGAATTCAGATGTCTGGGCGTACCTCTCTGCCTTGCTGCCTCGATGATGACCGGTGGCGGCGGGGGGGAGGCGCATCAGGGGCGTGTCCGTCTTCTTCTCCGATACCGTCAGCCCGAACTCCCCGAACCCCCCGAACACCTCCACGATGACGCTCATCATGCTCGCCATTCCATCGGCAGACCTCGATACGACGCCGGCGTCATCGGCATACAGCATCCCCCATACCGCCCTCCGCACTTGGTCAAGTGGTGCCCCCGCGACCGTCTCCGCCAAGCACACCAGGATCTGCAGAACAACGTCATCCTCGCTGAATCATATGACGTTGACCTCGATGACCGCGGCGAAGAAGATTTTGAACATCAATGGGGACAGCGCACACACTTATAGTCTTGTGCGACCCAGAACCAGTCCGAAAACTCTCCGTCGTCCATGCACACCCGGGATCACATTCCGTCGTGGAAATGGAGGATGACGGCGATAACCTCCTCCTGGGGAATCCCGGCCCTGGTCAGTATCTTCCACACTTCCACAGCAGCACTCGGTCGACACGGGTGGTCAAAAAGGTTGGTTGTAACTGGTGCCCAACCTCCCCGGGGTCAGGTTGGGACGTTGGGGATCGACCTTGGACAACACATAGTCTAGACTACGCTGCCAGTCCGCCCGATTGATTGGACCAACGTCGCAATCCGTGATACGGTGCTAGCTGCATACGTCGGCGTACAATCTGGCCCCCGGGGAGGTTGAGCAACAGAGTTACAACCTCCTTCTGGGCTACCCGTGGACCGAATCATAGGCCTTCTTGCCTTGGATCGACGAAGCACATGTAGACTGGAGTGTCATTTTCCTTCTCCGCCCCAACTCCTGGAGTCGGCGCCAGACGGACAGCATTTGGAAAAACAAATAATTCGAGCGAAGCGAGATTTCTAATCTTGCCTGAGAGGGCTCAGCGCAATATAGGGGCCGATGCAGGAAAAAAAGTGCGTGCGTGTGTTGTGTTCGCTTAAACTAGGTTTTAGAGTACAGGACTTGATTTGTGACTACAGGGCGCACTTTTTTTTTTTACACAGCAGAGCAGCAAACAGCAACAGCAGACAACACGCGCTCAGCGAGCAGACTGAACACACACGCACAGCAGACAACACGCGCTCAGCGGGCACAGCGACACACCAACAGCGCAGAGCGGACACAGCCACAGCGGCCTGCATGGCATGGCAATTGCATGATGAGTAGACGTCCGTTGGGGCCGATTGACCCGAACTCCCTCCGTGAGGCAGAGACGCACACAGACTCGCGGCGCAGACAAAGCCACGGGGAGAGGGAGCCCCTAGGCAGCCCACAGCTTGACCGGGCGAGAGCTGCTGCTCGTCAGAGGACTGCCGCCAGGCGTGCGGCGGAGACCGATGGAGCACGGGCAGAAAGGTGCGTTGCGTGTGCGTGCGT